CAGCGCTCCCCCAGCCCCGCGCGTGCCCCCCAGCCCGCAGCCTGACCCGAGGCGCGTACCTCCTTCGGGCCTTGGATCAGCGCATCCAGGAAGCCCCCCACATAGTGGACGCAGGCATCTGGGATGTCAGCATGGCTGAAGAAGGAGCACAGACACAGTGCGGGCCTCAGGGGCTGAGCACCACCGCACAAGCTGCTAACCCCAGCAGCCTGGGCTAGATCGGCTAAAATGCGCCCGGCTCCCGGCCCACGGCCGCCTCCTGGGTGAGGGTGCTGACACTCACAGCGCCAGGAGGTGGGTGACCACCTGATGGGGGATAAGACGCTTCTGGTGCAGAGAGGCTGCCTCCCAGACCACAGCTTCCCGAATGGCTCCATCCTGGAAGCGCCGAAGCTCTGAGCGGGAGCCCCAAAACCGGCGGAAGTCAGCAGCCTGAGAGGCAAGGGATGGCAGAAGAGATTAGAAGAGAAAGGCCGGCGGGGCGTGGTGGTGCAGGCCTGTAGCACCAGCACTCTGGAGGCTAAGGCGCAAGGACCGCCATGAGTTTGAGGCCAGCCTGGGCTACACAGTGAGACCCTGCCTCTCAGAGAGACAGATGCAGAGACGGACAGACAGAGACAGAGAGGGAGGAGGAGGAGGAGGAGAAAGGGAGGAAGGAAAGAAAAAGAAGGGGGAAGAAAGGAAGGGAGGGAGGAAGGAGAAGGAAAGGGAAGGGAAGGAAGGAAGGGACAAAGGAGGAGGACAGAAAGAAAAAAGGAAAGGGAGGGAAGAGGAAAGGAGACTGCGCAGGCAGGGTGCTTCAGAAACCTCCCTGAGAGGCTTCAACCCAGGCAGCATGAGGACCATCCACCCCTCCTTCCCATGCACATGCTGGGATTCCTCACCTCAGGCTGGTCAGCCTCTGGACCCAGCTGGAGGACACTGGCCAGTCCCTCAGGCTGAAGGAGCAATCCCAGGGTCAGGGCCCCAGAGTCTTTGTGCTTTGGTGGATCTTGGTTGATGTCCCACTGCAGGGTATGAAAAAACTGAGCTCAACTCAAGAATCCACCAGCCTAGGAGACTTCATAATCCCTCACTTGAAATTATACTATAACGCTACTATGATAAAAACAGGGTGGTACTAGCAAAAAACAAAAAAACAGACCCAACAATCAATGGAACACATTAGAAGATGCAGAAATGACTGAAGACATACTCAGCAACCTTATCTTCAACAAAGGTGCCGAATACATTCACTGGAAGAAAGATAGTCTCTTTAATAAATGGTGCTGGAAAAACTGGCTCTGCATATGTCAAAGATTAAAATTGGACCCGTATCTTTCACCACGCCCTAAACTAAATTCAAAATGGATCAAAGATTGAAATAGTAAAGTAAAAACATTAAATCTGCTGGAACACAGATTAGGTAGAATTCTTGAAGATGCTGGTGCAGGCCAAGACTTTATGAGTAAAACCATAATTGCACAGGAACTATCACAAAGAATCAACAACTGGGATCTCATCTTATTAAAAAGGTTTTGTACAGCAAGAGAAACCACCAAGAGTGAAGAGACAACTCACAATGTGGGAAAAAATGTTTGCCACCTGTTCCTTAGACAAAGGATTACTATCGAGAACATATAAAGAACCCCCCAAAATCAGAACTCCCCCAAATTTAAAGACCTAATTCAAAAATTACTAAAAAAATAAAAAGACCTAATCCAAAAATGGGCATCTGAGATGAATACACACTTCTCAGATGAAGAAATACAAATGGCAAATAAATATATGAAAAAATGTTCAACATCACTGGGCATTCAAGAGATATAAGTTAAAACAACAATGAGATTTCATTCTACCCCAGAAAGAATGGCTATTATCAAGAAATCAACCAAAAACAAATGCTGGAGGGGCTGTGGGAAAAAGGAACCCTTCTCTACTGCTGGTGGGAGTGTAAACTGGTGCAACCACTGTGGAAATTAATGTGAATATTCCTCAAAAAACTAGGCTTGGCGGTCCCATTTGACCCAGCTATTCCCCTTCTGGGTATTTTCCCAGAAAAATTAAACCATTGTACCACAGCAACATATGTGCACCCATGTTTATAACGGCACAATTTGTAATAGCTAGATCTTGGAAACAACCCAAATTCCCATCAGCTGAGGAATGGATAAAAAAGATGTGGTCTTTTTATACAATGGAATATTACTGAGCCATAAAGAAGGATAAATCGAGATTTTTATAGGTAAATGGATGCAACCTGAGGCCATACTCATAAGTGAAATAAACCAGATACACATGTGGAAACATTGTATTGTCTCCCTAGTGTGAGAAGCTAAAAGAATAAGATCCAAAATGTACAATAGATACTGTAAAGTAAGAAGAAACTGCTCAAAAGGAAAGAGAAACTGGGATGGGGAAAACGGAGAAAAGGAGGAAGAGAAAAGCACTACATATGTATATATATAAAAGATAGTTAGGACAGTTATACTACTAATCTCTCTCAGTTCATGGAAAAGAAAGGCTTGTGTTAATATTGTTTGGACAATGAAATGCTATCTTGTACTATGAGTAACTCATTTAAAGAACAATCCACAATGTATTAAGCACTGTTACCCTATTCTGTTTTGAAACTGTTTTTTCTGTCTAAAAAAAAAAGAATCCCCCAGCTTAGCCAGAAAGGAAACACGCTTTTCAGCAAGCTAGAAAGAGGGATGGCATGGCCTTTGTGTATGTCAGAGCCCGGATAGCCCCACTCACCCCCCATCCTATACCAAATCACCTCTGGGACCGGGGGCCGAGAGTGAGCCAGCAGCTGCAGTCGGGACCCCAGACCCTGCTCCAGGAGGGTCATTAGTGGGCCCAAAACAGCAGAGACATAATCCCCACCACTGTCCTGCAGTTCTGCACAGAGCTTTAGCCGGTGACACGCTGCCTGCAGGCGACTCACTGGACGGACACTAGGGGGCAGAGGAGAAAGAGGAATCCAGGCATGTTGGCTGAGTGTGCTCTCTCCTCCTTGGAAAATCTGACCGTCTGCCAAGGACCTTTACCCCACCGCCCCAGGAAGACAGGACCCACCAGCACACCCGTCACCCCTAACTCACTGCAGTATGTGGTCAAAAGACCGGACCATAGGTTTGGGAGTCATCAACAGCAGCTGGAACCCGTCGTCAGCTTTGCTGTCCAGCAGCACCATCGACAGTCGTGCTTCATGCTGCACCTGAGGCCGCAGAGTGAGGAGGGTCCATCACTGTACCCCTCTCTGACCAAGGGCTCAGACCAGGACGTGAGCCTGACCTCCCCTCTCTGCAGGAGTTTCTGGGGCTCTGGGGCTGCCCACACAGTCTGAGTTAGGAAGTCTGGGGGACACAGGAGGGAGGGCCCATTGGTACCTGGTGGTAAGTGGAGGCGGTGACATCAGCACAGAGGTTGAGACGGCCTGAAGAGTCCAGGAAGACAACGGGGAAGGCCTGGTGGAAGTCAGCCAAGGCCGGCTTGGAGGGCAGAGAGAAACCAGTCAGGGCTGGGCTTTACCTTCAGGCCTCCCGGCACACACCACGCCTTCCTCAACTCACCAGGGAGGACTCTGCGCTGGGACATAAACTGATCCCAGTAACGCTCAGATCTGTGGTGGCTGAGGGAACCGGGAGAAGGGTGTCAGGAGGGTCTCCCGCCTGACGCCCAGGCTGAGTGACACCCTCCCTCGGCCTGGCGGCGGCAACCAGCTGAACTCAGTTGCCCCTCTGACGGCAAGGAGCAAAGGGTTCCTGGGGTGAGTGGGGCCCCTGGCCCTTCCCGGTTCAGCTGCCTCACCCAGAAACTGCAAGACGCTTCTCAGGACCTGGTAGCCGCTCAGGGTAGTGTGGATCTTGCGTGTGGACACGAGGAAGGCCACCAGCATGGAAATAAGGAACCCGTTAAAGCCACCCAGGCCCTGAAACAGAGAGAAAGAGGCCTGAGCTCAAAGCCAGCCCGCCACACAGCAAGGGAGGAGGCTGGGCCCCTCCAAACTCACCCTGTCCAGCTCCCGCTGCCGCAGCCAGACCTTCAGAAGTGCCACACCGTCCTTCAGCCCCTGAGCAGAGCTCAGCACAGCTGAAAGCAGCTGCGCATGGGACTCCAGAGCTGTATCCCGCAGGAGCCAGGTGTTGTAGTGAGGGGTAGGGGGCTCTGGTTTGCCTGTGAGAGGAAACCGGAAACCACAAAATGAGAAATCACCACGCCGCTCCCCTCCAGCGCGACCCAACACCAGTGCTGGCTCACCGTCCCCGGGATGGCTCTGTCCTAGGTACCAGGCGGAGCGCACATTGTTCTTAGTGGGCAGTAAGCGACATGGGCGGAAGAAGTCAGGCGGAGGGCACGGGTGGAGGCGTACAGTGACCAAGCGCTCGTCCTTTCCTGGTAGAGACAGGGAGTGCTGAGACCCTGCAGCTCCTGGACCCAGAGAAGCCCCCACACTGCCCTTCCCGTACCTGGGGACCCCAGGCCTTACCTGGCCCTTCAAACTTGAGCCCCTGCCTCTCCCCGCGCCCTTGAGACTCACTCCTACACCCCGAGCTTCCTGCACGTCTCCGCCCCCGCCCAGCCCAGTGTACACCTCCCACCATGCGGCCGCAGCAGCAGCAAGGGTTTCAGGTGGCAGCCGTTGGCGTAGGAGAAGCGAACGCTGCCGAACAGGGGATCCTGGGCCAGGTGGTGAGCCAGGTGGGCCAGGTAAAGCGCACGCTTGCGGAAATAGCGCTGGTTCAGCAGGTCCTTGTCTTGCAGGATTTCCTGAGGGGGCCAAAGGGGAGAGAGGGCGAGGCACACAAGTGTGTGTAGAGTTTGAGGGCTAAGAAACAACAGAGCAGGAGTCTCGGGGCTTCTTTGCTGACTGCAGAGTGCCCGAGCCAGGGCCAGCAACACCATACTCAGTTCTCAAATGCAGAAACGTTCCGAAAGGGTAGAACTCCCCACGGCCCATGCAGGGTGAGCTGGAGATGACGGCAGTGGTCTGTTCTTTTGATTCAGAATTCCGATTTCTACCCCACAGCAAGTGGCAAGTGGGGAAGAGTGACTCAGGGATTTGTAAGTGGCCAAGTACTGGGCTTTCTACCCCCCAACCTAAGGCTTACCCTGGGCATAGTCAGTGCCATATCCACATTGATGTCGGGCCGGGTACAGGTGCCCAGAAGGTAGCTGCCCACAACAGTGACCTGGGCTGGAGGCAAGAAGCGGAAAGAGCCCTTCACAGCGTAGGGCACTTGGTGGAGGGGGACTCGAACCCCAGCCGGGAGCCAGGTCTGGTCAGTAAGCTGTAGGGTGAGAGGGTGACACACGTGGACAGTAATGCCAAACCCACATCGACTCCAGTTCCTGCATTCCTATGGATGTGCCACCAGCACAACAAGGAAACCACGGCTACAGCAAGACAGGAAGGAGAACGCTCATGCCAACGCTGTCGCCACTGGACACAGCGGGCAGGTCCACCACCACTGGGCATCCCGTCTGCAAGTGCGGGGGGACTGAGGGAAGAGCCACTGCAAGGAGGGCGTGGCAGTGGACCTCTGCAATCCCAGCACATGGGAGGCTGGGGCAGACCGTGAGCTTGGAGCCAGCACAGGCTACACAGTGAGACCCTGTCACCAAAAACCCAAACACTCAGACGCCAAGAACCCCTGAAAAACCTGAGGGGGCTGCGAGAAAGGGTCCCTCAAGTCCGTCTGGGGTGCCAAGCATGGCAGCACATGTCTGTAATCCGGCTGCTACTGGGGAAGCCGAGGAAGGTCTGTGACCTCAAGGTCAAACTGCAATTTAGTGGTACTGTCTAAAAATAAAATATAAAAAGAAACAGCTGGGCACCATGGTGCACCCCTACAATCCCAGTACTCGGGAGGCTGAAGCAGGATTGCAGGGAGCTCAAGGCCAGCATGGGCTACACAGTAAGTTCCAGGCCAGTCTGAACTACATAGTAAGTTCCTGCCTCAAAAAGTAGAAAAGGAAGGAGATGTAGCTCAGTGGCAGAGAATGTACTTAGCAAGCTTGAGGCCCTGGGCTCAATCTCCAGTACAAAAGAAGAGTGTAGATTAGCTAAAAGCTGAGCACGAGATACATATCGTTGCTATATCCCAGTGGAAATTTGAGACCAGCTGCATTATGTGAATGTCAGTGACTCCCTACAACAGACATGATGAACTTTTTAGAGTGCCCGAACTCTCACCCAAACCCACTTATTTATCACAAAGCGTGAACACTGCAATTAAACCCAAACTCTGAGGTTTTTAGTTTAGAAAAAACAACTCATACACTAACTTGTTTTGTCGTAAAACAACAGGCATGCCACAGGTTCACCACCACTGCCCAAGAAAGAGAGACTACCAGAAACATGGTATAGGCACATCTCAGGCTGTGACGTCCTAGTCATGGCTTCTGGTATCGTGAATTTGAAGCTGGTATCTCCAAGAATGGACGCACCAGAAAGCATGGCATTTAGGGTAATACGCTGTGATAAAACAACTAATTCTTAGCCAGGCATAATGGTGCACACATGTAATCCTAGCACAAGGCTGAGGCAGGAGGATCACCATGAGTTCAAGGCCAGCCTTAACTACATAATGAGTTTGTAAGTTATGATCCTGTCCCACAGCAAGACCTTGTCTTAAAACAAGACCCTGTTGCAAAACAAAAAACAAAACAGCCAAACAAAAACAACTAGACAAGAAAAACAAACCAAAAGAAAAATGAAAAAACCCCTCGAAACCTAATTCTTGGTGTTAACAGAATGGATTCTCCTGAGCAACACTACAACCAGAAGAGAGAGCACTGGATTATCACAACCAAATCATCACAAACCTGTGTCTACCCCGCTAGAGTATCTATGGCTGGCGACCCTGAGACCATGCCTGTGGGCCAAGTGGAGACGTGAGTTCTCAAACCCAGTATGATTGTGATAACATCACAACTGAAAATGAAGTCTGCGGAAACGCACCTTGAAGTGTGAGTGAAGCGGTTCCTGGGGACAGTGTAGATGCCAACATCAAAAATATGTGCAACACATGTTGGCATGTACCAGGTAAGTTCACCCCATGGCACCAAAAATACATATCTGTCAAGATGTTTGTTGCAGCAGTACTGCTGGTGACAGCAAAAATGAGCCATAAATGAAAGGAGTAGGCGACTACACTCAGGTGATTACCGTGAAACATGGCCTTGAACTCACAATCGCCTGCCTCAACATCCCACGTGCTGGGACTTCAGGGGTGCGCCACCATGCCTGGCTCTCAGGGGTACCCCGACAGTCCCGGGTGTGCCCTTGTACTGCAGCGTCACATAGTTTTCGAGACAGGGTCTCGCTGTGTAGTTTAGGCTGGCCTTGAACTATGTAGCCCAGGCTGGCCTCACACTTGAGATCTTCCTGCTGCAGTCTCCTTGCAGGAGTGTGCCACCATGCCTGGCACACAGGGCCCTAAATCCTTGAAGTGTAGTAGTGCTGCTTATCCCTTGCAACTCCTGTGTGTTGAGTTTATCTTCCTGAGGCATTTTACTGTTCGTGAGACAGACATGTTCTGTGGTTATTTTTTTTTTTTTGGTACCAGGAATTGAACCCAGGCCCTCCTGCTTGCCAGGCAGGTGCTGTTGCCGCTCAGCTACACCCGATGTTCCGTAGCTTAGTGGACAAGAAGCCTACTGGAGCTGGCAAAGTCACTGATTCTGCAAGAAAGCTAAATGAGTCAGCACACTCCTATAATCCCAGTATCCTGGGAGGCTGAGGCAGGAGGTTCGCAAGTTTGAGCCTAGCCTGGACAACTTATCAAGACAGTGTCTCAAAATACTTTTTAGCCAGTCATGGTGCTGCATGCCTGTAATCCCAGAACTCAGGAGGCTGAGACAGGAAGACTGCCATGAGTTTGAGCCTGCTTGGGCTACACAGTGAGTTCAAAGGCAGCCTGAATTATGTAGGTTTTTTTAAGAACCTGACAAATAAACAAACAAACATGGAGAAACAAACATATCTATTTGACTAACTAAGCTCAAATCTCCATGCTGAGGAGCTTCCTTACAGTGAGAATGAGTTCCCTAGGGCCCCAACTCCTCTAGGCAATAACCCACCTCCCCACCTCCACCCCCTCCACCGAAAGCCCCACATTCCACTTCCCCAGGCCACCTGCCTTACCTCTGCCTCAGGGGTTGAGGGCACCTTCTTGATCCGCTGGTTTACCTCCCGCAGAAAGACATCAATCCGATCCTTCTTCTTCTCTGACAGCCTTACTTCCTTCAGCAGTTCCTCTACCTGAAAGGGGGAAGGCGGGGCATCCATTGGTCTCAGGGTCTCGGCCGAGTCCTTCTACCCGAGTCCAGCTACCCAACAGCACCTGTAAACGAAGCAAGCTGGAGTGGAACAGGATCTCAGTTTCCCGAAGGCGATTCAGCTCTTCATTGGTGGGCTCCTTGTACAGCTCTTCCCGGCTGAGCTTCACAGGCTGCAGGAGGCCCTCTGCTGGGGACCCAGCCCGGGGACGCTTTCTTGAAGCCATCTTCTTTTCCCCCTGGACCCTGTCTTCCAGGGCTGGTTTCACCACCTGTGGCCAGAAAAGGAGGAAGCAATGTCAAGTCACAGGTAACCTAGCATTTGCTGCCCGAAGTGCCACCATAAAAGGATGTGGGTAAAGGCTGCCCCTGCTCCTGTCCCTCCTGTGAGAGCGAGTCAGATTCGGTAAATTCAGAATAACTATGACTTGGGGGGCTGGAGATTTAGCTCAGCGGCACAGCGCCTGCCTGGCAAGCGCAAGGTCGCGAGTTCGATTCCTGGTACCGGAAAAAAACAAAAAAATAACCATGACTTGGAGGAACACTACCGAGCGCTATACTGAAAATGCCTTGAACCGGGGGTCCCTGTCTCCCTGACAACACAACCCTGGAGCTCTGCGCGGAGCTGGAAGAGAGAGCCCTAGGCAGCGCCCAAAGCCCCTTCACTTTCAGGTTCCATGAATCCCTAAGTTTTCTCTTCTGCTTACACACAGCCTTCTCAAACGCCTTCTCCACTCCTGCCCTACGCACATGTTGCCAGGGCGACCCCCGCCATCCACCGCAGACTGCTTTAGTACCCTCGGCCGGAAGAACTGTGGGAATGGGACTTCTCCAGCCGAGGCAGCTTTCGGGTGCCGTCCCAGACAGCCGTCAGGCCAGACCTGCCATCGCCGGCTCTGCAGCCCAGGGAGCTCACGTGAAGGCTCAGCCTACCTCTGGCTCCGCAGCCGCTCGGCGCAGGTGCTGTGCGGCAGGAGCGGGCCCCATCGCTCCAGTCCGTCACCCTCCCGCACTTCGGATTCAAGCCGAGTCTACACAGCGCAGCTCACCACGTGCGCAGAAACACCGGCCTCCGGGCCTCAGACCTCCAGAGCACAGTTCCGAATTCCACCCACTCCAGAGCCATTGGGTTGCAGTCCGCTCTGCAGCTCGCCATTGGTCCATTTTCTCTAGGGCCGCCCATTGTGGGAGGGGCTAAACCACATTCTCTGATTTACGGCCTCTTTGCGACACTCCACCGGAAGCCTGCTGGTAGCGAGGCCAAGCCTCCCTTTTCCTCACTTCCGCTGCCTGGGGGCTCGTGTGGGCCCTCTCCGGGGCGTTTGTTTATTTACGCTAGTGATTCCTACCCTTTACCTCCGCCCACAGGTTATCTTGCATTTATTAATTTTTCTGCCTTTAAAGGGAGGTTCAGGGTCGGGGACATAGCTCCGCGGCACAGCGCCTGCCTGGCAAGCGGAAGGTCCCAAGTTCGATTCCCGGTACCAAAAAAAGTAAAAAATAAATAAAGGCAGGTTTAGTCTTAAGTAATGTAACGTTTTTCTTTTTCTTTCTTTTTTGTCCTTTTGAGACAGGGTCTCGCTATGCAGTTCAGGCTGGCCTTGGGTTCACTTTGTAGCCCAGGTTGGTCTCAAACTCTCAACGATCCTCCTGCCTCAGCCTCCCGAGTGCTGGGATTACAGGCGTACGCCACCACGCCCAACTTGGCAAATTTAATTATTATTAAATTTTTAGCTGGGGGTAGTAACACAAACCTGTAATCCCAGCATTCAGGTGCCTGAGGCACAAGGATTATGGAGGGTTTCAAGGCCAGTTTGAACTACACAGCAAAACCCTGTCTTAAAACAAACAAAATAAATAAGTGATTTTAATCTTTTTTTTTTTTAATGTTTTGAGACAGGGTCTGGCTGTATAGTCCAGACTAGCTTCAAATTCTCAGCGATCTTTTTGCCTCAGCCTCCTGAGTGCTAGGATCACAAACGTGCACCACCACGCCCAGGGCTTATTATTAAAATTTTAACACAGAAACATTGGAAGAATAGCCGGGTGTATTGGTGACACCTGCAATCCTAGTACCTGGAAGGTTGAGATGGGAGGGTCAAGGGGCTGGGGATTTAGCTCAGCGGCGCAGTGCTGCCTGGCAAGCGCAAGGTCGTGAGTTCAATTCCCGATACCGGTGGGGAGGGGGAGATGGGAGGGTCATAAATTCAAGGACAGCCTAGGCCACATAGTGAGATCCTGTCTCAATAAATAACAAAAAAGTCAAGAATTCACAACTGAGTTCAGTGGCAGAGCTTGTGCTTTAGCATGAGAGGATCTCAGTTTACTACCTAGCAACATACACACAATAGTAATAATAATAGACACCTAAGACATGTCAAGCCCTGAGCTTGGTGTCTAGAATACAGTTAAACTGGGTGTAGAGGCCCACGTCTGTACTGCTAGAACTCGGGAGGCTGAGGCAGGAGGGTTGCTGCAAATTTGAGGCCAGCCTAAACTACACAGTGGGACCCTGTCTCAAATAAACAAGGGAGCTGGGCATGGTGGCACCCCTCCCCCTGTAATCCGAGCACTTGGGCTATAAATTAAGTTCAAGGCAGCCTGAACTACACAGTGAAACACTGCTTAAAAAAAAAAAAAAAAAAAAAGGAGGGGGGCTGGGGA